GGGGCTACAAACCACACAGCAGCCACTCCCACCCCCATTAGGATTCTGTCCCTTAGACCTCAGTGCCCAGAACTGGCTTCTCCATCACTTTTGGTTCTGGACACCCCCCTTTCCTCACACCCAGGTGTCTTCCTCCCTCCTGTCCACCTGCCCCGCACTGTGTGCAGGGCCAGGAAATAGGGGCGGGGGTCTTTCCTGCCACTTACCTTCCTGAACAGCAGAGGGGAAACCACAGATCCCTGGGCACAAAAGCACCTGCGATCCTACCTCCCACTACCAGCTACCAAGTGCTCTAACACTGTATAAATGAGACCCCTAGGGAGCCCTTGACCTTTTTGGTTGACACTCAAAGTTACATGGGAGATATATATTTCAGAAACCCTGAACTAGTGTTGCCCTTTTGAGGGTCTATACTTATGGCAACATTGCTGCTAGTTCTCCAAATGTGTTAATTTGTTCAACAAGAATTTGCTGAGCAGCCACACAGTAGGTGTTGGGCTACCTCTGGGAACAGGTGGATGGGATCCCGGTGTGTTGGGCAACATCCTCAGGCCTTGCAGCTCCTCATCTTAAAGGGCAATTTCACTTTCAGAGAAGCCAAAGTATTCAGAAAGCGGTAGGCTATCGGGTTGGGAAATACCCTAGATGTTGAAACAGTACAAGTCAATGTGTGTTTCTTGACAACTTACTAGTTCCAGACACGGGACTAGGCACTGGGCCTTGCAGATGTGCCCTTGAGGGGCTGGTGGGGGAGACAGACAAATACACAAATGATCAAGAGACAGTGAGAAGCTTCCTGTGCTGGTGAGGAGTGGGCGAGCGAGGGGTCACTGACTTGGGGAGGCGGGGCAGGCAGCAAGCCCAAGGAGAGAGTGGCGCCCACAGCAAATTACTAACTTCTCAAGCCCTTCAACCTGCCCTGTCAACCCTGAGAAGGTCATTTTCCCCATTTTTATTGATGGAGAAATAGCGGCTCTGAGAAGCTACTGGAGTCATGGTTAGGCACAGGTGAGAGAACTCAGGGTGGGAGCCTATCCAATACCAGGTCTTTTTCATCTGAGTATTTCATCCACAAGAGGCATACATCTTGGGGCTCGGGACTTCTTTATCCCAGGAGCAGGCTCTGTGCTTCCAGGAG